TAGATTGAGTGGATAGATGTAAAGATTGTTGATAGTGAGCTTATACTAAAAGAATAATTTCTGAAATGGTCCATATTAATAGACAGCAGCAATAAGCAGAGTGATACTGAATCACTTTCTAACGCATATCTTCCGATTTTACAAGCATTACCCTCATATATGTTAATTTAATTTCTTTTCTCTCTCCCCTTCCTTTCTCCTTTTCTGTTCATTGTTCATAGATGTCCTATCGATAACAAACGTTGATATTACATATCATTTCAAGTTCATATCTAAAGACTCATAGACGCAAAACGATTACTAACTATACATAAGTGTTAATTTAGTCTTTGAATGATACGGACTCCTAGATTCAGGTATTTAATTTTAATTTTAACTTATTTATAACTTGTTAGCTTTTTAGTTATATATTCGATTTAGTCATTTTTTAAAATTTGAATCTAGCTTCTATATATTAAGAATTACGGATTCCAACAATGACATCTTTCTCCTTTGTCTCCTGTTTAAATCTGGGAGGACCGTACGTCCAGTTCTACTTCACGATGCGTTTTGGAGATTTGCGCCTGAATATTATGTTTTAGATTTTAACGATCGTACAATAATGGTTTAGTTTTTAACGAGTTTTAACAATGTACTTTTATATTTTACTATTTCAATTTTACTTGTATTAATTTTACCGATTCAACAGTGAAAATGACGGCTAATACAGGTCAAAACGTTTGTTTTAATTTCAATTTTTTTAATGTAATATTATCTTATTGGAGCATTAAACACCTATAGCTCAGGCTCATAGCCCTTATTTGATTTATTACAGTAAATTGCATCTTTGTCGTAAAATAAACGTATATTTTATATTATAACAATATAAATTCAAATAGCACAGACAGTTCAAAAAGAATTCGTGTGTCATCTGAGTGTTCACAATTTGTTTCATAAGAGCCTCACGTTACTTCTTTATTAAAATTTCATCTGAGTTAATTTTCAGATGCAAAAAGTATTCTTTTTCTAAAAGTTCTGAAAAAGAATTCTTTCGCACCTGAAAATGAACTCAGAATTGATGACATACGACTGAATATATGAATGAATTCTTTCTGAACTCCCTGTATTGCCTGGGAAAAAGAGATTTTTAACTCAGTAAATACATATATATCTTTGGCACATAAAAAACGCAAACAAGAAAGAAATAAAGGCGCACTTGAAGAAAATAATGGAAAAAATAAAAATATCACGTTTGTATTACGTTTCTCTTGCCTTTTCCCTCTGGATAAATACTGGCGTGGAAGAACTGCTGCATTATAGTCCGCTGTAAAACCGCTACTGTTCTCATCTACGAGAAGGACTATGTCACGCTCGTATCCGCCATATTCTTCCGAAATGTTTACGTGGAAAAATGTACGTACAACCCATCTTTTGAGAGCTACCCTATTGGAAGGTGCCTTGAAAAAGTTGTTCGCATCGCCTTGGGAGCATCGAGATCCGGAGCCGCAAAGAGTGATGACTTCGCGGCAAGAAATCACCCTTAAGGCTTCCATATAACCTGCCTGGCGATTTATGTCAAAGAAAATAAGGAAAGATTTAGAAAATATGTCACGCTGTAAATATCACGGCCTGATACGTATAGCTTAATGTTACGGAAGTTTCCTCTTTTCGTTTTACGTATATCACGGTAAAGCCACAAATATGATGCAATTATGACGTTTACGTCTGTCCACATCGATTTCCCAGTGCTTCTGTTTATACGTAAATGGCAGTAGAGATATATATTAATATGGGATATATTAATAAAACATATGTATATTAATATAATGTTAAAATCTGTGTAAAATTATTTCTTTAATTATTTATTACAATTCATGTAAAAAATATTTATGTTTTATAGACATTTGTTTTTAGAAAAGACAAATAAGGTAAAACAATCGTAATAATGTATTTTATTACAAAATGGAATTATTAAAAAAAATTTAATTTGCACATAAAATTACAATATATATTTAATTTTATTCGTATACAGGTACAGTACAATCATACTGATTCCTTTATCTCATAAATAAATATATTCATATAATTTGTACACATAGTAACATGTTTGAACCGAAGGAAAGATATTAAAGATTTTTACACAATTTTCCTTATTCCCTGCTGTGCAGTCTTTTTATGTAGTTACGTCAGTCGTATTTGCACAAAACGGGAAATATGAATAATTCGCGTGAATTCTCCGAGTAACGGAAATAAAGCGCAAAATTGTTTTATTGCTGAAACGACGGCGCGCTATTTCTCAGAGGCTTGGCAATCCAAAGGAGGGATATCGTACCCCAGCGGAATAACTCCCCCCCCCCCCAACCTAATTTGAAACCTACGGCCAAACCCTTAACAGCCAGTGATAGCTGCCATTTACAAAAGAGCTCCGGACCAACGTCCGAAGTTTGGCACTTTGAATCGGGCCATTTGGCCCATCTTTCCGTACATTTGCAAGTGGCCCCGGCCACGAAGCCGCGATCGATGCTATCATCGTTTCCGAGGAGAGGTAACTGCAATCCCATTCATTATACGTGCTATATGTAGTACGTGCATACTACATATGGCGGAATCTAATGTAGAACCGTGCAGGTCTCTGAACGATGAATTGTAATTCCGTAATAACGCTGGCGCGAAATCCTTCGAAAAATTTGAATAGAGAGCTAAAATAACCGTGCTAATATTTTACTAAAATTACTTATCACGTGGCGGAGTGAAATATTTAAAGGTAGTCCATAATCAGTCCGTAATTAGCAATTCCTCGAAATCTTATTTAGTGCGTATATCCAGATGCCAGCACTATATTATTTTTAATTTTAACCGTTAAATATTTTGCTATCGACCAGATTAAAATTTTGCTAGTAATTAATTTTGTAATGTCAAAGTCTAATTATAGGTTTTCATTGTCATTAAGGGGAGCTTCTTCCTTTCTTGCGAGCCGTTGCATTGTCTTCGCAACGTTGTAAAAAAAAAAGGATCGAGCACCGTCGTCGGTGCAGTACAAAACAATTCTGCAGGTTTCTTTGATGCGACTTTTTAAAAGGGATTTTCGATCTCCCGGTCCGTTTCTTTGCCGCCCTTAATCCCTACAGTTCTAGCATGAAACGAAGACCGGCTGTTTACAGTTTCAGAGAACTGGCAGCAATCATCGACATGCGAGCGTGCGCGAGCTACGGTTCGCTCGCAACGTCGACGACGTCGTCGCATCGCGTACCTTACAGGCGTTTTTCTAATATTCATTATACTTTTTGTCGCAAAAAGAATTTATAAGCAAGTTAACCTTCTGCTCGCCGACGAACGTCAGAACGGTAAATTTACGAATTTTTACCTCGCTGTTCTTAATAACAGACGATAATTTAAGAAGCGTTCTATAATTAATTCCGAGCCCAAAAAGTCGGAGTCTCATCGATCGCAGTCGCTAAAACGTTGGGTGTGTATGTTAGAAACTTTAATAAAAGAAATCTACATCGGGAAATTAAAGTTTGATTTTAATAACGACCGAAATATATTAAAATCAATATTTTCGAAAACTTGGAAATACCTTATTTTTTTTCTGGATGTGGGGCAATACTTTGATCAACTCGATAATTTGACTGTGCACTTTTATAATTTACATCACAGTGAACTGATAATTGTTTGCGGACGGCGTGCTTGTGAATAAGTGCATCCAATGTTAAAAGCGTTTTATACACACATTACTTTGCTCTACATTCAGTCTGCGCGCAAACTAAATTTTGCAACTCCATTTATTCAAATTTTCCAACTGCGACAAGAGTATCACTCCGCCACCGAACTCGCTCCATTTTCGTCATGCATATCCTCATTCCGTGGCGATTATCGCACGGATTATATCGATATTGCACGCAGGCACTTCTATTTTTTTTCAACGCGCTCACCAGCCACGACGTATAGTCCGCAGCCTCTCTGTTCGCTATTTTCCAGAGATACACAATAGTGATCGGTTTTAATTTCCTTTGCCTTTCGGTCGCGCCGGCACTGCGGAGTTTTCTCATTCCGGAGCTTTACAGCGAGCAGTCGTACACACGAGTTCGTGCCGTGGAGCTGTGATTCAAGCACTTTCGTGTCCAGCAATTTGATACCAGTCACGTACGGAATACATTTCGAAAGAATGCAAGAGGCTGCTGCAGAGGCAGAAATACTCGCACGTGCAAGAAAAGGCGTGTGCAAGTAATGAGGCTGCGTTTATCTATGATAAAACAAAATTGTCCCGACATTATACGCAATTGATATTTCTGATATTATGGAGCATACTTCGCTCGTGTGCATTTGAGATTGTAAGAATTCTGCATTTCGAAGAAACGATTAGATTATAAATACACATTAAGTGAAAAAAAAGCGACTGATGTGTTGCATATTAAAATTAGTTTTTAAAATAAATGCATAATTATTGAGAATGTATTGCACATATTTTCAAAATAAAAATTATAGATTATTCTAAATCGCATTTAAAAGTAATATAAAAAATTCAAACAGTTTGTCATTTAGATCAAAAGTTATTTCAATAAGAAGTAATATTTTTATAATCTTCTAATGGAAATGTATGAAAAATGAAAATGTATAATAGTAAATAATGACAAATAGTAAAATAATGACAAAAATCGTAATTTTTTAATATAAGTTTTTTAATTATACAAGTTGATTAGCGTAAAGTTTTATTGCGATGTAGAAATTAGTTATTCTGTAGTTAAACAAAATATTTATTTGTAACAAATTGCAATAAAACTTTACGTAAATTATTTTGAATATTTAGACTATTTAATGCAAAAAATTTAATATATGTCATTATTTTTCAAATTCTAATTTATAATAATAAAAATAATAACGAAAAATAAAGTAAATAAATGAAAATATGTTGTAAAATATATTTTATTGAAAATATGTTATCAATAAAAATAGAATGTTATAAACACACCTTTTATATGTATATAGTTTATTTAAAGTATAATATTAACACATTTGTGAAATAGATACAACATTCTTAACTTATATCAATTTTTTGGCTTTTTTTCTCCACCTCGCTCAATGATAGATGAGATAGAGAAACAAAAGCATTTTATTTTTGAAAATAGAAACTTCGACAGATTAAAAATTGAACATCCGTGAAATATAAAAGAAATTGAAAAGTGAAAATAGTTTGATATGTGCTTTTTTGGCTTGGCATTTCACGTTGATAAGCAAAAATCAAATAGAAAATCTTTCTAGCAATTTATAATATATTTATCTTATTAATAAAAAAATAGTCTAAATAAGTATTTTTATTTTGTAAAATTTAGCTGTCATATAAACGTAAATAAATTTTACAAATGTAATTCGGCGTTTGTTATCATTGTCGGTTAACGGCATGCTCAATTTTTCATATAATCGTACCACCTGTGCGACCTGACCTCATTTTCATCTTAAGTGGTCTAGACTCCGGGGTTTAGTCGCGGGATGAAACTGTGGATTTTGAATGAATATGAAAAAGGAGAGACTCGCCGGTATGACTAGAAAAATGTCTGAATCCGCTGTACTTTTGTTGCTTTACTAAATCCTATTTAAAATTGTCTTCCGAGGTATGTATTTGAACTTCTCAACGGATAAATCTTGTAAAGAGAATAACCACGGAAACATGATCTCTCGCATTGAATGTACATTTTTTAAAAATGTCTTTTACGAGGAGCAGACGTGTCCGTGCGTTTCTAAAGAAGTGCTGGTTTTAGTTTGCGAACTCGCTAATCTCAATTTCTTTATACCAACAATAATAGGATGGAACGCAGCGCGCGCGCGGCTCCGTGTAAGAGTAAATCTAAGAAAAAGATGTTCTTTCATTCACGTATAATTTTCCAAATTTGTATGAGTCTCCAAAATAGTCGGGATTCATGAGCGTGAGACTAACAACCTCTTAAAAAGATCTGACTGTTGAGAAATCTGAAAAAAGAAAAATTTAATAGGTCAAAAGACCAAAGCTCAAATTAGATTGTCATCTCATTATAAAAAACAGTAATAGAGATTATTATTGAATTTTTTACAATTATGTTTTAGTATGTCTCTTTTATGTATAATATTAAAGTCTTTTATTGCATTAGGATGTCGGAGCGCATAGGATTTAGTTATGTGCTGGTTTTTAATAGAAATTCAAAATTATATTAGCAATGTAACAATCGTTTATCATATTTCGCGACTCACGGTGCGATTATACAACTCGATGTCTCAAACCCTAATTATCGTTTCCTGACCTTTTCAAGATCGGTTAGAGCGGATCTTCCCACTTATTTACCTTCATATTTATATGTAGTCCGGGAGCTCGCGTGAAAAAATCGTAACTATTTTATAAAAGCTAGTTGTTTAATATTTGGTTACTTTTAGGATAAAAATCAAAATTCTGCAGTCAGCAGGTTAAATGATAGAACACCTGGCGCCGGCACTCTTTCAAAGACGTCGAAAAAAGTATGTCACGCAAGCATTTTATAAAAGCTGAAAATATATGTACGAATAATTTATGCAACAAAAATGTAGAAATATAATGGTCAGACAGCCCCCATCGGAACTTGTCGCGTCAGCACTATCTTAAAGATGCAAAAGAAATCACTTCAATGTATTTCATAAAATCTGAAATTTGGTACTAAATTATCTAGAGATCTAATACTATATACGAAAATAGAGTCAGACGGCTTTTTGACGGGACTAACACCTCGTCAGATCAAAATAACAATATTACGCGCGCAACCTGTGACTGCGCGGACTTGCGCTCTATCCTGGATTTCTGTTGTACAACTTTTACATGTAATACTCGTAAAATAGTATTAATTTAAAAACATTATTTTTTGATAAAAGTGAGAAAAAATATATATATAATTATAAATAATAAATCTAGAGTTATACATTGGAAAACTGTTTTTAAAATAAGAGAAACGACCAAATGCAGTCCGAAGCGGATCTTAATAATATTCATGTGTGAATCTTTTACAATTTCCAGTTCAAATTGCGCACCGAGCATTTTTTCGGGCATTAAAAATTCAGTTTTTACTTCTAATTGTAAGTGAATCCGGAATACGTAATATCACAATTAAATTAACAAATCAATTTGACAATTTTTTATGCTAAAAAGCATCTTTTTAATTCCTATAAGGTAAATATTTTCGTGCTATATTTTTTAATCTTTTTGTTAATTGCTTCAGGTTTTAGAATTACATATTTTTCATTTTTATCTTTATTTATATATTTTATTCTGGACTCTTTTAATCGTTTGTTTTTATCGACAACAGTATGTTTTCATTGAAATTTTTATTATTTTTCAATTTTATTTAATTATTTTTTTTATATATTTGTTCTTTTAAACATCTATGACTGTTCATTTATATCTAATACGATTTAAATTATTACTGAGGAAAACTCCGTGTAGTCGAAACCTCTGATTAAAATTATACTGTTTAATTTTTAACAGATTGATATGATTTCATGTCACACTTTACTGCTCGTTCCTTGGCCAAGTTAACTTATTTATCTGTTTTGTAAACATGAACTAGAGATCTTTTCATGTTAATTGTTGTATCGACGTATTTAATATTTTGAAAACAGTTTGATCCAATTTCTAAATATAAATCTAGATTTATTGTTTATAATTATATTATATATATATATATAT